GTCAGCAATACCAAGCGTGGGGCGCGTGTATACCAGATTCGATTTTATTACTCATCAGGATCTCTACTAGCCTACCCTCAAATTGAAATTATTTTAGGCAGGATTAGAACAGATTAAGCTATGAGACCTTGGGCGTGGTCAAATACATCAATCGAAAAGGTTTGACCTCCCAAGTCGAAAATTGTAATTAGATCTCAAATCGGTCAAGAGATGTCGGAGCTATGAGCTAAAACAATTTGTGCTTGAAAAATACAAAAAACACCTCAGAACCGTTCTGTGAGCCGCTCATCCCCAGCTAAAAATGAGCCTGCCCTTCGGAGAAAGAAGTGTATGTGCATGTGTAGCGTGTGTGTGTATATATGTGTGTGTTGTATATAGAGCAGGCATAGCTGATGAAAATTTGAATAATATCTTTATAAAAAAAATACGCTTACGTTTGTATTTCCGAAATGTTTCTCCAAACTTCCCGATGAAACTCGTCAAATTTCATTTTATATGAAAGGCCTTTGTCCGAGGAGTCCGGATTGTATATTGGCTTTTCAATTGAGAATCACCTTACCTGCTTTTTGCTTAGTCAAACTTTTCAATGCAACGAGTATGGTATACGATGGCACAATGTCGTTGTGATCAAATGACGACTGGCTTCCATTTCATCTATAATTTTTTTTCATTTGCAAAGTATCTAACACAAACAAACTTAACTCGTGTGTAATTTCCTAAAAAAATAAATATTGCAATTTCTATGGGCTTTCTAGACCTATTTAGATCTAAAATACGCATGCGCAGTTCTTTCAAAGCCATATGCATATCACTTTGACGTTTATGCATATTCAGCTAAGTTTGCCTTCATTACAACTTTACATTTACTTTACTTTGCAATAGCTTAGATTCTATTTGCTTCATATACTGCTTTAAAAACCTTTTAATGTTTTTTCTTTACTACGAGTTCTATTCTTTAGTTTTCTGAGTTTCTTTGTTTGAACTTGTAAAACTGTGTCATACACTGAACGCTCATAACTGTTTCATACCCTGTACACTATCATAAATACCATTACTTTACTTTATTGTGTACTTTACGTGTAGTTTTATTAAATAAATTTACATTTATGTGAGTTTGTCTTACCGCGTAATTTTTTTTCTTCAAGTAGGTCAGTATTATGCCTTGCGTGAAAATGATAGGATAACGAAAGTTCAAGTGAAGGTCATGAAAATTATCGCAAATGTTTTGCGGGTTGCGGCTAATTATCGTAGAATACACAAACTATATAATCCGAATACAACCTCAATAAAGTTAATTAGGTAAAATACCAAGAAACTACTAACTTGCTTCTGTTAAGTTCAGCAACTGACAGAACAACTTGTTGAAGTTCTCTGCTTTCAGAAATTAAAAAACAAGTTATTTATCTCGACGTAATCACGATTCCAACTGCTCCAAGCTTCACTCTGTTACTTAACGTGTTTACAGAAAGGTAAACAATTTTTTAGCGTCATGTATTAAAGTAACTTTTCGAGCGTGGCCCAGTGATTAGCGTGGGTGCATTTAAAGGGCGATGGTCAAATAGTTTAAGTCCCACTATTCGGTCAGACAATAATAAGTTCAAGAATTGGCGGTTGGTGACTATATGCCTTCAAAATTAGGGGCGGCTAGCGCAGATAAACCCTAAAATAGCTTTGCGCAACAAATAAACAAATCAGAAATGTTGAACTTCTCTAATATGCTGCGTCCGGAGTCTCTTTCTTACAGAGTAGATTGCAAGTTCGACGCTATTTTTTCCATACATCAGCAAAATCAAACCCAATAGTATATTTCACACATCCTTACCAAAGTTTTCTTAATATTTAGTTGTCGGACTGCAGGCTTATCAACCGGGAAGGAGGAGGGGGGCAAAAGGGACAAC